ACACTTTACCCACCGACTTCAAAAACAAATGTTACTTTACAAATGTTGTCATTTTTATTTCCTTCCCAAATAAAGTCAAAATGCGACAGACGTAATGTCATTGTTGTAAACATCAGAGATAATGTAATTTCTCACTCACTTAAACTTGTACCTCAATGTCATTACTGGGTCAGAAAATGACTGGAAAATGCTTTATAGAAAAGAGCACAATAAGATCAGTGAGAGATGTACGACGAAGAAATACGTATATACAATAAAAATGAAGGAAAATCATCATTTTAAGCATATTAATTCAAGAGAGATAAAAACAACTAGTGCAAAAAATGAAGGATTGAAAGATGTTTGAAAAAAGCGTTTTCTGCATAATTTCATGTTTGCGTTCAGCGAATAAAATGCGATGCCACCTAATTCAGGGATAGTCCCGCATATTGTCATGGTCCAGTCAATATGAACACCAAAATGCGGATGGCCCAATCGTGATTTAAGGGAGACACGTCGCCCGCTTCCAGGATGCGACGTAGCTTGTCCTCTACGCTTAGTGTGTCATCCTTGCTCCGTAACATGTGTTGCTTTCAAGAAATGGGGAGGGTGATGAAGTAAATAAATTTTTAGAACTTTCTTTTCAAATTTTTTTCTACGTTGGGTTTCTTAGCATAAATCTATTTATTTTTGGAATTACAGTTTTTTGATATTGTCCAATCAACAATATCACAGATCTGTCAATATCCTTGTTAATGATCCTTTAATTCAACGCTAAGTACCATGGCAGTCATTTACATCTCCAGTTTTATTTAAAGATAAGGCACACCTACCATAATAACAACAACATACAGAATCGCATTCCAGTAATGTGGAATAAGCTTTTAGCATTCCAGTAATGTGGAATGAGGTTTTCGCATTCCAATAATGTGGAATGAGTTTTCCGCATTCCAGTAATGTGGAATGAGGTTTGTAATGTCTATGATGAAATGATCGCAAATAAGTTGTTAGATGTTCATTTGCAGCTTGTCCATTATTACGTAAGGGAGCTGTTTGGAAGCAAATTTGATCAACTGTATCCC